GTTTTTCTCTCTCTCCCTTCCTATCTAAAAAATTTTTTTTAATTTTTTTTAAATTCAATAACAAATATATTTTTTAGCCCCTGGTTTATTAGTGTATGTATAGCATTTCTATCCTAGCAATGAAGTTCATCCTAAGGGCTATAAGATAATAAAAGAATATTTTAAATATAAGAAATTAAAGACCAAATACACATTTAGCCCCCCTGGCATCTAGAATACTAAGACCAAAATTGATTCTTTCAGAAAGGCACAGAAGTGTGCGTGACCCAGCCTGATTTCCCAGCTAGCGAGACTCATGCCTGCTGCCACAGTGCTACCTACACACACAAAACCACACGCGGTGTTCATCAGCCAGTCAACACTGGGTGAGCATCCATTCTGTGCCAGGCTCTGCAGCAGGTGCTGGGTATACAAGGTTAAAAAAAAGTAAATAAAAATCCTCTCTCTAGTCAAGAAGCTCAGCATCTAGTGTGATGGACAGAATGTAAAATGTTAAACGAAGTGAAACATGGCCAAGTGCTACTTGTCTGGATAGAAACCCAAACCCTGCAGGGTGTGGATACCTCTGCCAGGAAGATTAGAAAGATCTCCCCAAGTGGGACAGAGTTCTTTAGGGGTAAACGATCTACCAGGTAGAGGAGGAGGGGGCTATTCTAGGCAAGGGGAGCCTCGGAGGAAGAACAAAGGAGAGACAGGAAGCAACTAGAAAATCTGGCAAGGGGCAGAAATAGGCCTATAGATTTGGCATTCAGAAATTTTAATAAAAACGAGGTTACACTGGATTGAGACATGAGTAATAGTTAGGGTTTGGGGTAGGAAGTGGGCTCCTCTCTTAGGAAACACAGAGCTTGAAAGGAAGTCTGCAAAGATCAGGACCTGGGCAAATGGGCAGTTGGTGGACCATGGAGTTGTTCTGGACCCTTTCCAGAGCGTCTAGAAAATTCTATCAGGACGCCCCGATCACCCCAGGCACAGCTGCCGAGGAGGAAGTGATCTCCACCCCCCACCCCCCACTCTCCCCACCCCCAAAAGCTATCGTCCTCAACAAAATGAGCTTCTAGGACTCACACAGAAACATGCATGGAGTAACTGAAAACCCACCAGGGCTCAAATACTGAAAATTAATATATTCTGCCTGACCTAAGATTCAACTTTTAGAAATGCTTGCATTTTATGTTTCAAACCTTAATCGCCCACCATACTTTTATCACCTAAATGTTTCCTAACTGAAGTTGAAGACAAAAAGGAATTTCCTGTAGCAGCGGCTATAGCACATGTCTATCACAGGGGGTGCCTTGGACTGCGCGAGCTCGTGCTCACACTGAGAGCCTAGGACAGACAGCAGGATCCGCTCTCCCCTCCTGTGGAGGAGGCGGGGACCATGGCCGCTGTGCTAATGCAGCTCTCCCTCTGCCTGGCTACATTAGCACAGCGGCCATGGTCCCATCAGTCCTGGAGGGTTGGTTGTTGTTGATACTTTTAAGTTGGAGGCTCTCAAGGGGTTTTGTTTTGAGTCAAATTTACTTTTACCTTTTCCTACCTGTTTGGAAGTGTGGATACAGTCTAGGAAAACATTGACGATCAAAAAATTCCATTTACTTGGGCTATTTGTAAAGGAAGGTAGCCAGCACTTACCCTCCTGCAGGGAGAGAGCAGATTTGTCTAATCCTGGGGGAGGAGATGAATGGCAGGGTGGGAAACCCTGCTGAAGAGGGGTGAGCTGCAGGGCGCTCTTGTCTCCTAGGCCCATCTGGGCCATGATATCATGCTGACTACCTGGCCGCCTGGCTTTCTGAAAGGTGGCAGCTGCCTCCCCCATCCGCCTTCCCATCCCTCCTCCCCAATCTTCACCCTCCTCCCCCTTTCTGCACAGCTCTGACTAGCCCAGCCCAGGTTTGGCTATGAAAGCTGTAAGAGAACACATTGGTAGCACACAGCCAGAGCCACCTCCTCTGGGAAAACCAAAAGGGGGGTGAGGGGGGAGTGTTACTTGTCATCACAACTTGTATCTGAAAGTGGAGTATGGCTGCAGATAAGAGCGCTCCTCCCCCTCCCCCTGGACAGATCCGCCAGCTGAGTGACTCCCAGTGGTCAGCGCAACCTGCCTTCTCATAGGCTTCTCCCTGAACTCTCAGGGAAAACCATTTAGAACAAGACTTGAAGAAATGGGTCGATTTCATTGGAACCTACGTTTTCATGGAAAGCTTTGCCTTAATACACAACTTCTATCAACAGGGCCCAATTTTAAAAACTGGCTCCTAAGAAACAGATCTGTAAGAGGGCACAAATGAAAATCCTATAATCACACATTCATAGCCGAAGATGTGCTATAATTGCCTGCCAATTACCCGAGGAAAATTACAGGATTAATATTAACAATGTAGCTCGTACATGTTGATGTATTATAATCACCTACAGGGAAAGATGACTGTGGACCCAAATTAAAGAGAAAGCTTGACTAAAGAGCACAGGGCAGATCTCACAATTTAACTACAAAAGGATACCAATAATGGCTACATTACTGTGACCCTCAAGTAATGATGTTTATTTGTAGATGCTTGCGGGATCCATCCAAGTACCTTATCCAGACCACCCATTCTGAAGGTGCAAACCCGGCCACATTCATTCTTTTAGAACACCTACACCGTAAAGCAGTTAAGTGACTCTTAATTGGGTCCACAAGAGGACAAGTCCAGGTGAGTGTGCCTCAGTTTATCTGTGGTGGCTTCTGGCTTTCTATGAAGTTGAATTCATGGTCCAACGTCTAATTTTCCTTCTCTGCTTGAAAGGGAACAAATAGAAAAATGCACCTGCCCCTGAACGTGGTTTGGGAATTGCCCCAATGTTTGAGTAGACTCGATCGGTAGCTTCATTTTGTGACTTGTCTGGTTTCAGATATTTTTCCAAGGGCTCCCACTGTGCTAAACTAGGTCACTCCACTTGTCATTCACCCAGTGGGTGCGCATGAGCGTGTGTGCATGTGTGTGTGTGTGTGTGTATGTGTGTGTGTGTGTGTGTGTGTGTGTGTGTGTGTGGGACTCTATGAGAGAAAAGTCTAAAGGCAGGCAGGAGGTGATGAAGAAGAGAGAGATCTGAAGTCCTATGAGAGCTGAGGAATCATTTCGGTCTAAGGAAAGCAAACCCTGTAATAATATCCAAGTTGAAAAAAGCAGGTATTCCAGTCACATGCTTTTATTATTTGCCTTAGTTGGATCTAGTCCACATTTCTATTTAAATGCTCCTCTCATTTTCTTGGGTAATAATTATAAGGTTAACTTTTCAAATAAAATAAAATTGTTCCTCGGCTCCTTGCAGATTGGCTACCACGCAGGTTAAGGCAAGTATCTCCAAACCCGTGTCCTAGCCAGTCCGTCTTGGAGGTTCAGTGTATGACCTGGGTGAACAAGACTGTTCTTATCTCAGCTCACACACTAATTAATGGGAACATGTCTCTTAGGATGGTAGGTCAACAGGCCTCTCTAGGCTCCATTTCCTCGTTTATTAAAGATGTGGGACTCGTTAATAGAAGATATGTTTGTGTGTGTATGTGTGTGTGTGTGTGTGTGTGTGTGTGTGTGTGTGGTGTGAGGTAAAGAGTGGCGTAAACACTTTGCAGGGTAAACCAGTAATTAGTTTTAATATACTCTACCATGAGTCTCTCAGCTTAACTTAGTCACTAACCTCTCTGCCATTGATCAAAGGGTTCCAAGCCAGGGGAATATAGAACGTGTGCAAACATCCTTCTAATGTAATTGCTCGGGAATACTTTCTGACATTCAGCACAATGGAATCCTCCACCTTCTCTGCACTCCCCCACCTTCTCTGCACTCCCTGGGACTGCATGCAGCCTCTTAGTCTGCAGGACGGAGTACTGAAGCCTATACATGAGAAATTACCTGCTGCTTGTGGAAACAGCATGGAACATGCTACACATTACTTAGAGACACGGTATATTACTGCCTGTGTTTTTGAGTAATTTCTAGAAACTGTTATCTCCAATTCTGACTTCCCTGCTTTGCTCTGGGTCTCAGAGGTTGGTTTCTGAACCTGCATTTGTTGGGAAGCACCTGTGGGAGACTCGGAGGCAGGGAGCGCCCGGGCACTCCTTCGTCTCCCTGCTCTTGGTGTTGAGAGAAGTCTCTGCAGAAACTCCCCTGGTGTTCTACCTCCTTTTGGAAAGCAGGTCCCTCTGTGGCCATGGCTCCTGCTGAGGCAGCCCCACCATCATTCCAGCTCTTTCTGGATGACACCTCCAACACCCACCACCCTCTCCTCCTTTTGATCCTCCAGCCTTGTGGGTAAGAGCAACAGATTCCTGCAGCTGCTCATCTCTGGACTGCCCCAGGGTGCCTCCAGCACTTCCAACCTTTGCGACGAAACCCCTTCATGGCTCCACTGGGCATGGGCTCTGCTCCCCTGCCTGGACCCTGAGTCTCGTGGAGGGACCTCAGGTCTCTGGGGGACAGACATTGTGCTTAGAAGTATACGGCCTCCAGAAAATGTACTGGGCAGATTCAGTACTTCTCAATGCCAGGGAAGGTCTCTCAAAGGTCTCATTGCCTAACCACATAGTACTATTGGCACAAGACGTGTGTTAGCATGAAGGAACACTGGGTGGAGAAATAGAGAACTAGAACTCCCTATCCAGGTTTGTACCTTAAAGCCCACAGCGCCTGGTCATTCACCTCACCGAGGGATCAGAGTTCACACGACCTGCTTAGACATGGACACGGCTCTTGCAAATCTAAATATATTACCATTATGGATGGGACACAGTTGCCTTTCTTACAATGAAAGTGCTCTGCACTCAGCCCAATTTCAACTTCTCAGCCTGATTGGCACTAAATGTAGTGGCAAAGGAGAAGTGCCTAGCCTGGTGCCTGGCACGTCAGGAGAGCTGCGTGGGTCCTGGCTGTGACTTCCGTGCCGGGAACCTCCTGTGCATCATGGCAACTTGTCAGCTCGCCAAAGACCACGCAGGAAGGCCGAGGTCAACTCACCGATGTCAAGGACCCTCTGCTTCGCCGTGTGCTGCCGAGAGTGCCAGTATTTCCAGTATTTCAGCTGCTCGTCTCGGTTCTTGTCTTCACTGAAGACCACCATCACCACGCTCTGCGGAGGCAAGGATAATGAAACTTACTTTTTGTTCTGGGCCTCGGTTGCTCACACGGTCTCTTCAGAAAGTCCTACCAGAGGTGCATTTCTGTGATGCTGCTTTTCTTGCTTTACAAAAGCCCAGACATGCTCAGTTACATGGTTTTGTTTTAAAATGAACCTACTGCCCTAACTAGTTTGGCTCAATAAGTAGAGCATCAGCCTGTGGACTGAAGGATCTTGGATTCAATTCTGGTCAAGAGCACATGACTGGGTTGCGGACTCAATCCCCAGTAGGGGATGTCCAGGAGGAAACCAATCAGTGATTCTCTCTTATCATTGATGTTTCTATCTCTCTGTCTCTTTCCCTTCCTCTCTGAAATCAATAAAGATATATTTTAAAATAAATAAAGTGAGCCGACTTAAAAAAATGATTGGAGCTCAACCAGCGTGGCTCAGTGGTTGAGCATCAACCTATGAACCAGGAGGTCATGATTCGATTCCTCTCAGGGCTCATACCCAGGTTACAAGTTCAGTCCCCAGTGTGGGGCGTGTAGGAGCAGCCAATCAATAATTCTCTCTCATCATTTTTTTAAAATATATTTTATTGATTTTTCACAGAGAGGAAGAGAGAGGGATAGAGAGTTAGAAACATCGATGAGAGAGAATCATCGATCAGCTGCCTCTTGCACACCCCCTACTGGGGATGTGCCCGCAACCAAGGTACATGCCCTTGCCCGGAATCGAACCCGGGACCTTTCAGTCCGCAGGCCGACGCTCTATCCATTGAGCCAAACTGGTCCCGGCTTCTCTCATCATTGATGTTTCTATATCTTTCTCCCTCTCCTTTCCTCTCTAAAATCAATAAAAATGTTTTTAAAATGATTGAAAATGAAAAGAGCATATAAGGAGGGAAAAAATCCTACATCATCTTTAACCTGAGTCATAAACAACCAGATAAACTAATTACTAGCAAATTTAATACTTTTTGAGGTAAGTAGGAATATAAAAAAAATATTTTTTTGGTACTGAAAACAAGCATATTTTTGAAATTTCTTATCCTTAACTATAGAATCTGGCACCATTTATAAAGGAGGAAATATCTGTTTCTGGCCTAATTAAGTGCCTGAGGCTGGAACACTGGGTTAATGAGAGAAATGTTAAAGTAATGAGAGGAAAATTAAAAGATGAGTTCACATTGATGAGTACAAATGTACGTCACAGATACTTCATAGACCAAACGATACAAGGTCAACTATGTTTTTTTTTTTTTGTTTCAATAGAAACTCATAATCCAAAAACACCTTTCGGTTCTCAATTATAAACAACCTCATGAAGCTACGTAGATACTGTACGTGTTAATTCACTGTCCTTTAGACAATGAAGAGGGTACCAAAAACAAACAAATAAACCAGCTCAAAAAACCTTCCTTACAGTATCAGGGATATGACTCTCCCTTCTCACTCCACATCCAACATACTTCTTAGACATTTCACCACCGTTCCACAAGGCTATGTCATTGATTTGTGATAGTCCTGAATCCTTTCTCCTCTGTAGCATTTTACACACTGGGAGCACAAAGCATTTTACAACAGGGCAGGAAAGTCCTCCGACCTCTTTCCAGAGCTTCTGCTCTACTTTTCCTTTTCAGTAGTGAGGGATTACGGTTCCCTCCCTTCTTGGCAGCAGCGAGAGTGCCAGAAGCTGGCAGGCCTCCAGGGCACTTTCATTTCCCACACATCGGACCAGCACCTTGAACGTGAAAATTCCCCCACGTCACTCCTGGGAGGGATCACAGCACACCTCACCCCTGGGCTCCTGAGTAAGCGCTGGGCCGAGAGGGCTTTTAACCAAAGTTGCAAAGGGTCTGGGGACACAGATGAATTGCCTTCTCCTTTACAGAAAAGAAAGCAGCAGCAAAACATGTAGAAATGTGTTCTGACTTACAGCTTCTCACTTGAAAAAAATTTAAATCAACTGATTAAAAACAACAGCAGCAGCTAGGTAGCGAGCACACAGACCATGAATGAAGCTGGGAAAATTCCTTGGATACATTCAGAAAGCATGTCCCAACCACGTCCCTTCCCCGGGGCTTATTGGTTACTGATTAAAATGATAAACCGCGAGCCAATAAGTTCTCTTGCCCCAACTCTCTGACATTTGTTCTGGAGTTATTTATTTTAGAATTTTTTTCCACACCCTTCCCACAAGGCTCGGAGGCAGCGATTGCATTCCTCTGATCCCTCCAATTTCCTGAAGAAACTGCGGCCCTTACCCTGACTTTGCTGATGGGGTGTCGGAAGCATTTGTTGTCGCCAGTCTCACTGAGCGTGATGGCGTAGAACTGCCCCTTGTTGAGGTAGGTCATGGGGCCCTCCCCCTGCTTCTGGCGGAGAGACTTGGTGGCCTCCAGGGTGTACTGAAACGTGCCGCTGTGAACAGAAAAAGCAAACAGGGGTCAGAGTCACTCACCCGAACACTACTGATCAATTTCATTTCACATTGATTATCACTTTGTATGAATATTAACCAATATTTACTCTGTTTCCGAGACAAAACACAGCATATGGCAAAAGAGATGAGACCGGACCAAAGGTCACTGCTAGCACAGTGTATACAGACAGCATTCTTAATAGCGACCCATAAACCAGATGGTTTGGAAGGAGAGGAAGTCCACGATGTGCCTGGCCAAGGGTGCGAGGCCGTGCTGGGAAAACCTCTATTGGGTCTTAGCTGGCAATAGGCAATGCCTGAAGTTTAAGAATGTATAGAGCTTGCTGCTTTTATCCTAGTCCCAAAACAAGTGTGTGAATGCTTTTGTTCAATTCATATACATGTAAATCACCTTCTATTTGTCTCAACAAGATATTGCAAATATATTCTGCTTTTTAAAGCTTCAAAATGTGAAAACCCAAAACTCAAAACATTCATTAATAAACATCTAGTTCCATAACAGGGAGAATTTTGTGTGTGTGTGTGTGTGTGTGTGTGTGTGTGTGTGTGTTTTGTTTTCTAAGCCTGCAAAAGCACTCGTGACAAGTATGTGCAAACTGAAATGATCCATGGGCCAAATCCAGCTCACTGGCTGTTTTTGTAAATAAAGTTTTATTGGAACACAGCTATGTTCCTTCATGTAGTGAATGTGGCTGGCTGCTTCTCCGTAGCTGCTTTCACACTGCACAGCAGAATTGAGTGGCTGTGACTGCATAGCCACCAAATCTAAAATATTTACTAGGTAGCCCATTATAGAAAAAGATTGCAAATTGTTGCTCTAAATGATTGCCCTAATATTTAAAAAATATGATTTAACTTAACAAAAACACTCTTTTCCCCACCTTTGAAGAAAATATAAATTGTTTAAAATGAGCAGCAGGTATGAATCATAATCTCTTTAAACATGCTCATTCAGAAATATTTATTGCTGCTACACCACAGGACGGCTCACACTGCCGACACAATAACAAAAACTGTGTATTTTTCTCAATCATCAGAATCTCTTCATTGAGTCTAACTATTTTTTTAGCCCTTAACATGGCTTACAAGATTACTGGCAACTCTTGCTTCCTGTGTTGAACATTTTTGCAATGTCGATTTTTTTTAACTTTTTTTTTTTTTTTTACTTTTATAATGAGAAACCATTTGAAGGACAGAATAATATTCCTCTTACATGATAAAAATCATAGGCATAAGCTGATAAACTAAAAAAATTCCAGAATATGTCTTAGACCAAGGTGGGAAATAAATCATTCAAGACAGAATCAATTCCACTGTCATTTTGTATAGAAAAAGCAATTCCAATATAGCCACTGAATCATAAAATTTGCAGCCTGGACAGGATATTAAGGACTGCCTACACCAGTAGCTTGCATCTTGTCTAGGGCACAGACTGCTTGAAAAATGAGAAAAAATGTTTATATGTGCTTTCTCAGAAAAAAAAAAAAAAAAAAAAAGCACATATAAACATAAATGGTTCTGAATATAATTTCAGGGATCTCTCTAGCCCTCTCCCTTCCTCTCTCAAATCAATAATTTAAAAAAAAAAAAAAGTATTTTTTTAAAGGTTAGAAAGTATAACTTGGGGGTACATTTACTTTCTTTTGTTGTTTTTTTAAAATATATTTTTATTTCAGAGAGGTAAGGGGAGATAGAAATAGAAACATCAATGAAGAGAGAGAATCATTAATTGGCTGCCTCTTATACACCCCCTACTGGGGATTGAGCTAGCAACCTGGGCATGTGCCCTTGATCGGAATCGAACCTGGGACCTTTCAATCCGCAGGGCAACACTCTATCCACTGAGCTAAGCCAGCTAGTGGCTGGGGGTACATTGAAAGGCTCATCCGTTCATCAGTTTCCAGGGGCATCTCCTGGTAACCTACCTTGATGTCTGGTCATACATGTATTCCTCAGCTCCAACTGAAGCACTTCGAAATTTCTACAAAATATCCAAGATATGGAAATTAAAACCAAGAAGTGAGGTCATTATTACAAATTTTAAAAAGTAACAAATGTATCTGAACTGTTTTGTTCTCACTTTAGAAAGGAGAAATATATGTTGTTTGGCATTACATTCTCAACTGCAGTGAAAGGGACCACCCTGTGGGCACAGAACCCACATGTCACCTGCACAGTGGGAACTATCCTCACCAAAAAGCATGTGTGCTCTGTGTATTATTCATGGGTCTGCAGGTGTGTCCTTAGAGTGTCTGCAGGATCTGGAGACTGTTTCCTCAAACATACAACATTTCTTCCACTGCCTATTACCTCTAATGCTTATTCCAAGTCATAGAATCTGAGTTACTGGGACAGTAATTACACACATCATAGTCCAAGCATCAGAGTAGAGGGATTTGGAGCATAGTTTCTAGAGCAAGACTGTGTAAGGTTAAGTTCTAGCTCTCCTGCCTGCTATCTGTGTGAACTGAGGCAAGTGCCATATTTTCTCCATCTGTAAAATGCCTGCTTATAGTGATTAGAAGGACTAAATATGCATATAAAGTATAAGAACAGTAAGCATGATACAGTGGAACCTCAATTTTTTAAACTTAATTTGCTCTGGAAAGCTATTTGAGAAGCCATTTGTTCATGACAGAGAATCAAAGATTCAGATTTAAGCTTCTTGTACAATCAATCAATCAGCAAAGCATTTAATGGGGATTTTTTTGAGGCTTTATCATCTTCTTTGTGCCAGGAGAAAATACAAAAAAATTATAAGGCACTGTACTGTCCCCAGAGAGATTAAAAATTGGTGGAGGAGATGGGTAAATTCACATGAAAAAAAAACAATACAACAACAACAACAAAATTACAGCAAATGACTAACTATGAAAGGCTACGTTGAGTCACTCTGGGAAAGCGCAGAACAGGCACTGCCAGGATAGGAAAATCAGCAATATTAGAAGAGTGCATGGAGACTGTGATCTTTGCTCTGACCCTTGGAAGCCAAAGAGAACCTGGGTTTACTGAAGAAATTAAAAGAAAGTAATCGGGTGAGAAAGGACCACCAAGACAAAATGATGGGTACAAATGTGGTTCGTGGATGGAGTCAAGGACATAGGCCTGCCCCGGTTATGGAGGAAGGACCTGAGCGTCTACAGTAGCCACGAGCCAAATGTGCTGAAGTCGATTAGAATTAAATAAAGTTAAACATTATTAACAGAATTAAATAAAGTTAAACGTTCCTCAGTCAAACAGCCACCTTTCAAATACTACATTGACATATGGCACTAGTGGCTGCCATCTGGGACAGCATAAAAGACAATTTCCATCGCTGCAGAAAGTTCTATTGGACAGGACGAATTTATGAAAAGGTACTTATACTTAGTACAGTTAACAAATAGGAATATTTGGAGTAGGAGGAGAGCAAGAAGGAAAAGATACTTAAGGAAGTATTTTAGAGATGGAGGGGATGTGTTTCCAAAGTCTTTGAAGGAATATGTAAGGTAATAACCTGCAACAACACATAGTGAACCAGTATTAATAAACATGGCTTTGAATAAATTTATTGTCAATGCCATAGAGCTCTGCAGCCTGAGGACAGGCTAGCCTACTAAAACATATTGGGCTTGTAAGGTCTATGGTTCTAATCCCCCTGATTCTAATCCCCCAGGTGATATGAAAAGGGGTAATATACTACAACTGTTCGGACTCAAAGAGACTATCCATATGCTGACTGAAATAAAGAATCACTTCAGTAACTATCAGTGCATATGAACAAGAACTATGAAAAAAAAAATAGTTGATATGTTTTAGATACAGAATTACTATTCTCAAGTTTAAATTTTTTCCCTTAATTCTGTTACACTGTCTTTCAAATTAAAAAAATAAATAAATGTAGAGTCCACTTTGAATATATCACCATCCTCTATGAGACATGGTCATATTAATGGGTCACATGGCCCTAAATGTTTTAGTATTAAGAATCAGAACCAAAATGCTTGGGCCCTTCTGGCTAGTTACAATGCTTTATAACTGTTTGGACATCTTTTGATATTATTTGTAGGATGCCTAAAGGCAAGCTGACAGCCAACATCACCAAACCTTACTGTGATTTGATGTAGTGCATCTATATATCTTTTAATTATTTAGGTCAAATTATTCCCTTCCTGATACCACTATACACACACACATACACACACACACACACACACACACACACACACACACACACACACACACAAATGAGTCAGTCTCTAATAGAGAATGAAACCTGCTCATTCAACAAGGGTCTTAGACATTTTAATAATATTCCTAAAAGAATACTACATTTTAGACAAACTTCCCTTAGTGAAATTTCCTTGATGAGGTTCCTGAGCTCACCTAATCTGTAGCCTGTTGGCCATGCCACAGCTAAAGATCATAATAGAGCATTCCATTTAATTCATAGCCAGATTGAAATACAATATGCTAGGTAAACACTGATTTCCAAGACTATGAGAGCAGCTAAAATATTCCAACTATTCCAAATTCAGTGGGAATAATCTTCATATAGTTTCTGGTAAGTTACTTTCTCATGCACCTAAAAATAAAACCCCAACTACAATAGCTTCCTTTCACCAGCCTCTTTATCTACAGCACAAACACAACTGATAACACATCCCCCAAATAGCAGGATGGTTCGTTGACATTGGACAACATCCATGGGCTCTTCTGTGACTAATGGAATATTTCTACACCACGTAAGAAAAACATCAGAGCAGCCCTTTAGTGAAAAAGCATGTGCTTCACATTCCCATGTGGAGTGATTCTAAAACAAACAAGCCAGCAGCGATCATTGTTTCTACAAATTCTATGGACACAGGAGAATAGGTACAAAGCACACATACACACACTTGGTTATTGAAAATACAAATTCTTTCTTGAATATTCAATCAGACAAGGTCGTAGAAAGTTATATTGTGTGTTGTTGTTGTTTTAAAGAATAGGCAGACAACTGTAGCTACCCTTTGAGAAGGTTACAAACTAGAAGAGGTCAAGGTAAAAACTTTTAAAAAATAGGAAGTTTCCACACGAAAATCTCTTCATTCCTTATAAATATTTAACTTTTAAGATCAAAGCTAAAACAAAGGGATCTGTTAGCTAAGAGTCAAAGAAAAAAAAATATTCCTCCACATGCCTATACCAACGGTTTACGGAAACCTGCTCATAATAAAAGATACAAACACATTTTTAAAAAGAGCTGTCAACTCACCGCTCAATTCATTTATCCCACTTTCAAAGTAAATAGAGGACAAAAGTTAGCTGAGGATCCCAGTGGGCAATGAGCATTGACCCATGAACCAAGAGGTTATTGGTTTGATTCCCAGTGGGATCGCTTTCCTGGGTTGCCTGGTTGCGGCTATGGGTCAATCCCCAGGTGGGGTGTCCAGCCAAGGGATGTGTTTCTCTCTCATCAATGTTTCTCTCTGAATCCCTCTTCCTTCCCCACTCTCTAAAATCAATAAAAACATATTTTAAAAAATAAAAAACTCAACAGGTCTTAAATAAAATTTTTTAAATTAAAAAAAAAAAAAAGTTTGCCGAAACCGGTTTGGCTCAGTGGATAGAGCGTCGGCCTGCGGACTGAAAGATCCGGGGTTCGATTCCGGTCAAGGGCATGTACCTTGGTTGCGGGCACATCCCAAGTAGGGGTGATGCAAAAGGCAGCTGATGGATGATTCTCTCTCATCGATGTTTCTAACACTCTATCCCTCTCTCTTCCTCTCTGTAAAAAATCAATAGAATATATTTTTTAAAATAATAAATAAAATAAAGTTAACTGGGGTTCTGGATTTAGGTTCTTGTTACTGATGAAAGAGCGGGGACTCACCTCCGAGGTCCCGTCCTTGAAGCTCTCGCTGTAAGTGCTGTCCGGGGTGCTGCGCTGGTCATCCTTGAGGTAGGTGCCGTGGCTGGCCATGGAGGGCGCCCCGTACTGAGTCTGTTCAAAGATGACCACACGCTGCTCCTCCCCGTCCCCCCGGGGGTAGTGCACGGGCGGGGCCATGAAGACCGGGGTGAAATCCTCGGCTTTCACCACCGTGATTCCCGACACGGGGATGATGGCAGGGCTCTCGGGGACGCTGGCGCTGTACTGCTCCCGTTTGGAATTCTCCAGGTGGTCTTGGTTTAGGGAAAGGTTCACAGGCACAGTCTTTAGCACCTGGACGCGGTTTTCTCCTCCACTCAAGTTGCTCTGGGCTTCGCTGGTGCCAAGGCAGTTTCTGTGGGTGGAAACCCACCCCAGCATAGGAGAGAGTTAGGAAGCTCACCATTCTGTAGCTTGTGATAAAATAACGGAGGCAGGCGATCATCGGCGGGCATGCATGTATCAGACTCAGAGGAAAGGCTGATGGGGAACTTCACAACGGGAGCCAAAGGATCTCTGCACCCCTAGGACAATTACACCTGTGTGTCTCCTGCAATCAGTCCCACCTAGAAAGTGCTGTGACTTTAAAAAAGAAGAAGGTCATCTTAATTCTAAGCAAGTCTCTACATCTAGCCTTCAGCTCTCAGAAAGCACAGGAGCTGGAGGAAAGACTTAGACGAGTCTTTCTTAAGAAGCAGTCAGACAAACCAGAATGCCGCACGCACATCTCACCGACCTGGCTTCTTCAGTAAGTCAGAGGCTTGAAAAAGGAAGAAGGATGGAAGAAGGGTTATTCTAGACTAGAAGAAAGTTATAATGAGAAGATCTTGTTTGGATCCCGATCTGAACAAACCAAAGAGGCATTTTTGAGGCAATTGAATATGGACTGGGTGTTAGGTGATATTAAGAAAGTATGTTAATTTAGTTAGGTGTGGTAAGGATTTTGAGATGATATATAGTATCCTGAGGTTTTTTTTAGATATAAAAACCAGAAGGAGTTAAGGTAAAATGACATGACTTATTTTAAATTCTATTGCCATTGAATAAGGAAAAGGAGGGGAACAGAAAAGGTAGAGATTAAGCAAGTGTAACAAACGTTATCACCACTAAATCAAGAGGATCAGGTGGGCATTTGGGGGTCACTACATGTCCTCTTCTGTAGAAAACTTTCAAAAGAACACATTTTAAAATGGCTTTATTTTTTAAAAGGCAGGAGAACTGACATGATCATTTGAGGGAGGGTGAGAAGGATATTTTTCACTTTCCTGTGGGCTACACTAAAATTTAGAAATTATAGGAAAAGTAAAAAGTGAGAATTTATCATTTAAATATTTTCACTAAATGAAGGAATAACATGAGCTCACTCTTGCCTTAACATTGAATTATACATTCGGGGCTTAAGGAAGTGGTGTCATTGTAAAAGAAGATCTCTCAGATCTCAGACCTCCTGGCTGGTACAAAGAGAAAGGAGGATTTAGAAAATTAATTCTTGCCAGGCTAGAATGAAATATTTTCATTTATACTAAAGAATTCTGGGAGAGAGCAAAAGAAGAGAGAGACTCATTAATGGAAGATTATTATTGAAAACAAAATGATTTTACTAGCAAAGTCTTTGTGGTCAGTAAATTCTGAGGCCACCTCTCACTTATTTACTGATTCCTCTGATTGATCACAGAGAAAATACCTGTATTGTACGGAGCCCTATCCCCCATGTCTGCTTTATTTAAACTAGCATGCCCCTTGTAGGGCTTATGGGCATCTCTCACAGAGAGCAATATGCTAATAACATTGGTTCTTCCAAGAATAGAGTTCTCTTGGCTCCTCTCTATAAAGGAAGTCCATTAGCTTCTGAGCTTGCCTAACTCCCAAGCAGGACTTGGTATTTCAGCTTTGATTTTTCAGATAAAACTTCAAAGTGAAACTGGGGGAAAGAATGGCTCCACACAAACACAGCCAGCAGAAAATATCACAAATCTGTACAAACCATTCGAGAAAATAACCCTTTAGAGAATAAAACTGTAAGTCTACCAACAGTCTGGCTTTCAGTAATCACCTGCTTTCGTGGCCAAACCAGGTGGTGAATCTGTATATAGGACACAGTGAAAATGAAGAAATGGTGTTTAATCTGAATCCAGTTAGCTGGAGGTTGCCAAAACCCAGACCACCCATTTCTACCAGCATTTCCTAAACCCCATTATTTAGGACATTTGCATGGAATGTTAATAGATGTTCCTCAAAGAAAGGAGTCCGTGATAAAATCAGCATTAAAACAAAACAAAACAAAACAAAAAAAATCTTGCCATAACAAGACCACCCCGGTGGGTCACAAACACCATGAACAAGGGAAAAGGCCCCCCAGGCGTTCCTTCACCTGTTTAACTGTAAGCCAGAATTTCTGAAACTCATTTTACCCCCGACCCTTTTGTGTAGGATTAGCTATTAATACTGGTGGGTAATGTCCTGCAAGTTGAGTGGAGAAGTGTTGGTCTACCTTTATGAGCTACCAAAGCAATTACTCAGTTTCCACTCCTCTGGGCTTTGAACTAGGAGAGTCTTAATGGCTTTACCGAAATATTACAAGCTAACCAACTCCTCTATAGTTACAAGAGTTCATTTTAGTCCACATTTCTTTTCTTTTCTTTTTTCAAATATATTTTATTGATTTTTTTTTTTTTTTTTTTTTTTTTTTTTTTTTTTTTTTTTTTTTTTTTTTTTTACAGAGAGGAAAAGAGAGAGACAGAAAGTTAGAAACATCGATGAGAGAAAATCATCGATCAGCTGCCTCTTGCACACCCCCCACTGGGGATGTGCCCACAACCACAGTACATGCCCTTGACCAGAATCAAACCCAGGACCCTTCAGTCCGCAGGCCAACACTCTATCCACTGAGCTAAACCAGTTTCGGCTAGTCCACATTTCTTAATTCTTTAATTCCTATAAAATGCCTGAATTGTAAACAAAAACTGGATGTATGGTTGGACAAGCCTAGCTGAGTCATTAGTATAGGATGAGGAAATAACAGGCTCAGCAGCATCCTATAGCGTGTAGCTCTGCCCCTGTAGAACAGCATTGGCTTTCAAAGCTGGTGCAGGAGAACTTCAGAAAGACATCCCAAAAATATGGATGATTAAAACAAAGTAAGAATTATTGTGAGATACCGACTCCCCTGCAATATAATTTAAAATTGAACCAAATATTATAAAAGGAGAAAAATGCAATTCTAAGAATGGTGCATTCAATATTGTAGGAAGCGGCTATAGGGTCAAGCCTCGGACTGTCCTGTGGCAGAGCCACATACAAGTCCCAGCACAATTATGCTTCCTTGTTCCTAGGTAGCTAATGGGCTGTGGGAGGTGTAGCAAGTGCTGCCAAAACAAGGCTTGAGTAACAAAATAGATTTGTAACTCACAAGAACATTGTAACCAGGTTGACCACTCCCCTTGTTTTGCTTTGTGTGATCTCACTATAAAATAAAGCTTCGGCTTACAGACTGTGTCACTGTGTCCTCATCCAGGCACAGTGGTTCTACCTAGCCCCAACTGTATTCTCTTGTCTATCTTCTTTAAACTTTCACCGCCCCTCCTCAGGTTCACCCTTGGCCGTACTGGACTCAGTTCACAATATACTTTTTAAAAACTTTTTTGGATTATGTCATTGAAAGTCTATTTCCCAAAGAAGCGACTTCTGTATATAGTTATAATGATATCACGTTAGCACATGGCACTTTAATTCATGAATGCACCGCAGATCAAATGATACCCTTCCGAATCACATTCAGCCAGAATCTACTAAGTCATAATTAGTCTATACAAGGTGGTTTTGTGTATTTCTCACTGCCAGCTTTCATAAAGGTGTTCCATTAAAATCACAAAAATAACCATTAAAATACAATGAGCATCTGTCACTTTAAAGGTGTTTTAAAAGATGCTCTAATGAAACATGGTTCTTTTGTCTATTATGATGCAGACATCTGAGACTCATTTTCTCCCGATCCCTCTATGATTGCTGATATAGACCTTGCAGACAGCATAGTCTTAGCTTAATAAATAGTGGCTAGATGGAGGAAAAGTTACAGGACCTGAAGAGTGGCAGCCTCCTTCTCCCTGTCATCACTACTGCCACCTGGGACCCAGGGCCCATGGCAGTGTGGGGCATCAGCAGGTCCCTGTGGACCTGCAAATCAGATGCAGCTAGTCATAATCATCTGCTGGGATACACCTTGGAGATGATGCACAGCTTAGAGCTGCTACTTGGTGGCTGGCCCCAACTGCTAGTCCTAATACATAAAAACCCAGGGCTGTAACATCCAAAACAACCGAAGACTCAACCAACCGAAAGTCAAAGGCTGGGTTGCCGTGGCAACCAGGCACTGACTGCCCGCCGCTGCTGCAAGTGCCACAACCCAGCACTGACTGCCGAGGGGGCTGTGGAGCAGTCTTGAAGAGAAACCTGCAGAGAAGCAGGGTCTGATCCACAGCCTCTGTGGCAGCTGTTGATAAGCCGTTGCCTCTCTCTTTCTCTCAGACTTCACTGGTGCTGCTGATCAACCCCACCTCTCTGATCAGCCCCATTGATAGGCCCAGAGAAGCTGACTGGCAGAGAAACTTACCAATCAAAACCAAATCTGGGTGAAGTGTGAGAAGCCAATGGCTGCCTAGGAGGTGGAGCTTTTGATGCTGACTGGCATAGAAAATGACCAATCAGAACCTAATCTGGGTGAACTGCAAAGGCAGAACCTAAGGTGGCGGCTGAGGAGGGATTTTAAGGGCAACAGCTGTTTGGTGCAAGGTGTAAGAAAGCGGCTCAATTTTTTAATAACCAGTTTGGCAGTACGATGCATATGGCTGGCTATCAGTCCAGATATATGGATTATGTAATTTTGCCTGCCAAGAGTATCTCCTCCTGATGAAAACGGTTTTCCCCCTCCCCTCATTTAAGCAATCTGATCCTATATAATCTATCTATACTACTATTGATAAAAGGCTAATATGCCAATTAGACCGGGCCAACCAGCCATCTTCCAGCCGTCTGATTTCTTTCTGGACAAAGCCTAGGTGTTGGGGGCGAAGGCAGAGGCTGTTAGGGAGCTGGGTCACACAGGGAGTCCTGGGAGCACATGCATAAGCATACCTAAGATGTGAATGAAACGATACAGACTGCAGGTTCAAAACCACATTCCTCAATTGCCTTCCTCCGAAACAAAACTTTCATTTTCCTTTTAAATTTCAATCTGTAGGACTGCATCCTGTGTTCCAATTGGTTCTTATTTTAAGATTGCAGGGAAGGAGTATTATGCAATGATCTCCCTGACATCTGTCCTGTGCTTCGTGTCCACTGCTACTGACAGAGCCTCTTCCTCTACCTCATTAAAAGTAAGCTCCGTGCCTGATCCCCGGAAGAGCCTGATCACAGTTATACAGCCGTGGGAGTGTCAGAAAACTCACCTCAGCGGTGGGCTATCTTGCCAGCAGATCACCTCTAACTATGGATATTTTCAGCTTCCTTGGAAGGGGGTATGCATATCAAGAGCCTGCTGGTGACTCTCTGGATGCATAGTCCAAAAATGCAATTTTCTCTCTCTACTGAGAGTGGATTTTGGCCCAGACTCCAAAACACAGTTAGAAGAGGCTATGACCCTCTCTCCTGTAGTTTAGTGCTGTTTGAAAAACAACAAAAGCAAACAAACAAAAACACGGAACAAGAGTTTTTTGGAAGCCAGGCATATTCCTTTACATGGCACGGTACCTTTTGTCCTGATCTTCTTGGTTGTCACTTGCTTTGCTCACAGACAGCAGCCTCTTGTCTCGAGGAACCTGGAACCATCAGAAACCATCAGTGAGACTTACAAAGATGCAACTGTGACCATGTGCAGAGCTAGACTCCAACAGAAGCAAAACAACTGAAATGGGTCACACTCCAGGGGAAGGCGGCAGATTTGCTATAGCCAGGAGCTGGTTAAAGGTGTAGTAGGTGCAATGACCAGGGACCAGACACAAAGGGGTGATGCTAAATGGAGAGCCACACAATCATGATTCTGCTGTGCACGGCGGACATGGACAACTGTCCTGAACCTGAGCCCTCCCCACCTTAGGCGTGGATGGCGGGAAGAAATATAATAAATGAAGGATGGATCTACACATCTGTGCCCTAGAGCAGATAGAAAACATATCTTGGAGTTACAACAAGCATCCTGTTAAGGAACAGGCACTGACTCTCTACTCTGATGAGGGCCTGCAGGTGCTGACATGAAAGGGAGCAAACTGGGCAGGGGCTGCACTGTCCAGTGAGGGAGGAGAGTCTGGTATACCTGGACCACCCTTTACCACCCTCTCTACATAGTTTAGGGCCTTGCTTCCACAGTTTTTTCTTATAACACAATTCTTTTGTCTACAGAAGCACAATGCTGATATACTGCCTGAAACATTATTGAAAAAGTACCACTTGTGAGAAGGCACATCCCATCAGCAGTTTCTGATCACCATCTAACCTCCCTACTGCAGCTCAGATTGTTTGCATATCTCAGCCATAGTTTTCAAACATGGAAATAGTAGGTTTGGATTTGGTTGGTTGGATAATTTTGGGGAAAGGGGAATGTTTTATTTTATTCTTTCTAGATCTTCCTTCTAGCCAAACTCCTCTGCAGCTAAAATGCAGTCTTCACTATTTTGACATAAAAGAGCATTTATGAGAAGTGTTTCTCTTCTGAATTCCCCTAGCAATTCTTACAATTTCCACTCACCTGGGTCATATGCAAGCCCAGTCAACTGGACTAAGGAGAAAAAAATGAAATGGGACACATTCCAGAGAAAGGCATGGCTAAGAGCATGGTGGCTAAGAGTCAAGACCTAGACTAGACTGTCTGGGTTCAAATCTCCAGCTCTACCACTAACTAAACTCTGCCTCACTTTCCTTATCTATAAAACAGGCTTAATGATAGTTTTAGATAAAATTAGATGAGTTAATTTTTTAGAAGCATTTTCAATAAAATTAGATGAGTTAATTTTTTAGAAGCATTTAGATTGTATGGTACAAGTATACTATATAATAAAAAGGCTAATAGACCGAAGTGCGGAACAGCTGAACAACCAGTCGCTATGACATGCGCTGACCACTAAGGGTGTGCATGGAACATGGCGAGCATCAGCCATGGTGGGATGGTGGAGCAGTGAATGGGGGCACCAGACCAAGGTGGTACACCAGTCACTGTCATTGGGGTGAGCCTCTGGTGGTTACTAAAAATCCTTTGCTCCTGTGTGCCATAGTCTGACCTAGCACTTGTACCTGCTGCCGGCGCCTGGTGCTGGCCTCAGTTGCTCAGTCTCATCAGTGGGTGTGAGCAGCAGCTCCCCATCCTGATGGACCCTGGATGCTTCTCCACCTCTCCCTGCTCCTGAGGGGCAATTGGGGCTGGCAGCCACAGCTCATACCCGCTGATGGTACTAAGCGACTGGGGCCAGTGCCAACAGTGGATGCAAGTTAAACCAGCACCATCAGTGCATGGGAGCGGCAGTGTGAGTGGGGCTGCTGGCACACACGGTACCGGAAGCCATGACAGGAGGGGCCAGGCAGGGGCCCAGAACATGGGCCAAGACCTTGTGTCCCCCGCAGCCTTGTGGCCCACAGTTCCTTTCAAGGTGCACAAATTCGTGCACTGAGCCCCTAGTTTCTTAAATAAAAATAAAATAATAAAATCAACTCTAAGCCCTTTATTCACATGTGAATGTTGAGAATCTACATAAAACATTCCTGGCATTGCTAAATGCTGGGTAGAAATGAGAGTAATAAAATATTGTTCCTATTATCTACTGGAGATAATATATAAACATAAAATTCAATCCTCAGCACAACCATGTTCATAGCAGCATCACTCACAATAACCAAAAGCTGAAAATAACTTCAATGTCCATGTACAAATGAATGGATAAACAAAATGTGGTATATACATACAATGGAATATTATTCAGCCTCAATAATAAAATTCTGATACCTGCTATAATATAAACAAGCATTAAAGGCATTACGAGCCTAGTTGGAGTGGCTCGAGGATTGAGTTCGAGCTATGAATCCAGAGGTCAGGGATCGATTCCCAGTCAGGGCATATACTGTGGTTGCAGGCTCAATCCTCACTGAGGGATGTGCAAGAGGCAGCCAATCAATGATTCTCCCTCATCATTAATGTTTCTATCTCTCTCTCTCCCTCTCCTTTCCTCTCTGAAATAAAAATACACTTTTCAAAAAACTTTAAAAAATAAATAAAGACTTTACAATAAATCCCATGGAACTCAAAGTCATAAAGTTTTCTCTGAATGCCTGCTTCCTGGTTCAGCCTCCAACAGTCCTATTTCTTATTCTCCTTTAACATTTCATGTAATATCGGTTTGGTGGTGACAAATTCCTTTAGCTTATTCTTGTCTGGAAAGTTCTTTATCTGTCCTTTGATTCTAAATAATAGCTTTGCTGGGTAGAGTAATCTTGGTTTTAGGTCCTTGCTTTTCATCTCTCTTGAGTATTTCTTATCAATCCCTTCTGGCCTGCAAAGTTTCTGTTGAGAAATCAGTTGACATTCTTTTGGCAGCTCCTTTGTAGTAGGTAACTGACTGCTTCTCTTTTCTCCCTTTGTCTTTAACTTTTTACATTTTACATTTTTACATTTTACTTATGATTATGTCTTGTGCCTCTTTGTGTTCATCTTGTTTGGGAACTTTTGTACTTCCTGGACTTGTATGACTACTTCCTTCACCAGGTTAGAGAAGTTTTCTGTCATTTTTTCAAATATGTTCTCTCTCTCTGTCTTTTCCTTCCAGCATCCCCATGATGCAAATGTTGGTATGTTTGTAGTGGCCCCAGATGCTCCTTCTACTATTTTCACTTTTTTATTCTTTTTCCTTTTTGCTGTTCTGATGGGATGTTTTTTGCTTACTTATATTTCAAATTACTGACTTGATTCTTAGCTTCATCCACTTTACTCCTGATTCCCTGTAAATTATTCTTCATTTCAGTTAGTGTATCCTTCATTTTTGACTGGTCCTTTTTTATGCTGTTGAGGTTTTCACTTAGTTCATTGAGCATTCTTATAATCAGTGTTTTGGACTCAGCATCTAGTAAGTAGATTGCTTGTCTCCATTTTGCTTAGTTTTTTTTTTCTGGAATTTTGTTCTGTTCTTTCATTTGGGACATGTCTCTTTGTCTCCTTATTTTGGCAGCCTCCCTGTATTGCTTCTATATATTAAGCAGAGCTGCTATTTCTCTCCCAGGCCTGGTAGACTGGCCTAATGTAGCAGGTGTTTTGAGGCCAGTGGCACAGCCTCCCTGATCACCCAAGCTGGGCACTTGAAGTGTGCCCATGTGGGAAGTGTATATCCTTATGTAGTTGAGTCTTGGTTATTGCTGGAACATCAATGGGAGAGATTTACTCCCAGGCTGATCAGCTGTAAGGACTGGCTGTGACCACCAACCACTGGCCACTGATCTCCAACCACAGTGGGTCATCACCTATGTAGGGGACCACCCCACAGAACAGGACTTATTCAGCAGGGCTCTGATGCCTGAGGAGTCCGGCCCTTGAGTGTGTCACATGTGGAGGTTGTTGGGTGGCAATACTTGGACGTGGTCTGAAACTGTCCACTGCATACACTGGCTTTGGGCCTCCCCTGAGGTGCAGGCCAGGGTCAACTGCCACCTGTGTTCTGCCCAGAGCCACATGGCATGAGCTACAAAGTGATCTGCAGATAGCTGCTATTTGTGGTGGGCTTGGAGGTGCCCAGGTGAGGCAAAGCTGCAAACCAAAGCCAGCTGCTGCTAGTGCAGGACTGAGCCACTTAGCAAGAGGGGGCATGCTGAGGCCAGATGCTACTAGCTTGAGAGATTTTAGGAAAATGTGAAGCATGAGCCACTAGAAACAGCTTGGGTGAGCCTGAAAGTTGGGTGGGGCAGGGATTCGGTGAATCACCAGGGCGAGGCACATGGCGATAGCCAGGTTGATGGAGTGTCAGATATGGTGCCCGGCTGATGGCTCTGTGTGGAGGAAGGGCTCATCAAAGGAACGGTGGCCTCTGCCAGCACTTCTGTATGGGAGAAAGCCACCCTCCCAGCTCTCTCAGCCTACGCTGAGCAATTCAGTTCCTCCATATTTCTGGTGCCTTTCAAGCTGCTGCCCCAGCACTGGAGCTCAGAGGGAGTGAGTCTGAGTTAAGTTAGTGCATTGGGGGCCCTTTAAGAAGAACTGCCTGGGACTCGAGAAGCATCAGTCTCCTTCAACCTCAGTCCCTTCTGGATTTTACAGCCAGAAGTTATGGGGACTTCTCTTCCTGGCACTGGAACCCTGGGCTGGGGGCCTGGTATGTGGCTTCTGTACCTGAGATGTCCCTCCCTTTTGTTTTTTTGTTTTTTGGGTTTTTTTTCTTCACCAAGGATATTTTTTCCATTGTTTTAGAGAGAGTAGAAGGGAGGGAGGGAGAGAGGAATGGAGGAGGAGAAAGAGAGAGAATGATGGATCTGAGAGAGATACATCAATTGGTTTTCTCCCATACAAGCCCTGACTGGGCAGGAGATCAAAACTGCAACCTAGGTACATGCCCTTGAGTGGGAATTGAACCCGAGACCCTTCAGTGCATGGGCTGATGGGACTGGCCAGGGCTCCCTCCTGATTTTTATCTGCCACACTTGGGTGTGGGACCAGCCTTTTCCATGTCTCCCCACTCCTATCAGTCTTAATGTGGCTTCTTCCTAATTCCTTAGTTGTCGGGCTTCTATTCAGACAGATTTCAGGCAGTTCTGAGTGATGGCTGTTGTGTAGTTTAGTAGTTGTAATTTTGATGTGGTTGTGGGAGGAGGCAAGTACCACATGTACCGCCATCTTGCCTGGATGTCCAAAAAGAAAAAAAAATTTTTTTTTATTTTGAACACTGAATTGTGTATTCCCAAAGTTCATAAGTTGATGCCCTAAACCCAAGCGTGACTATATTTGGAAATAGGGACTTTTTTTTTTTTATTTCAAGAAGATAATTAAGGTTAAGTGAAGTCTTAAGCCCTAATCCAGTAGGGCTTATATCCATATAAGAAAAGGAAAAGACACCAAAGTACACACACAGAGAAAAAGTCATGTCAGAACCCAGCAAGAAGATGGCCATCTGCAAGCAAGAAATAAAGAGCGGTCTCACTAGAAACCAACCCTACCAGCACCGTGATCTCAGACTTCCAGCCTCCAGAACTCTGAGAATAAAAAAAATAAAAATAAAAATCCATTGTTTAAGCCACCCAGTTGTGGCAGTTTGTTACGGCAGCCTGAGAAAACTAAAACTGTATAACGGAACAGACATTAGGAAATAGACAGAATTGACCTGTGACCTTGATAAATCCCACTTAGTTACCTGAACTACAAAACATAAAACTGGGGTTCCCTGCAGTGATCCTGTGGAGACAATTTAAAAAGGTAGGCGAAAAGACTTCGACCTCTTTTCCAAGGAAACACAAATGGCAGGTGCTGCAGGTGCTGCAGAAAAGCCTGGAGGGCCAGGGCCCTGGGATGGGAGGCCGCAGTGGCTTTGGTGCACGATTTGGCAGTGGCACCCAAGCCTGGGTCACGGTACGGTCAGGGCCAGGACTGCGGCTGCAGAGCAACCAGAGGCAAGACCATGGACAAAGACATGAAGATCAAGTCCCTGGAGGGGATCTCACTCTTCTCCTTGCCCATCAAGGAATCTGAGATTATTGGCTTTTTCCTGGGGGCAACCCTCAAGGAGGAGGTTTTGAACATTATGCCAGGACAAAAGCAGACCCCTGCTGGTCAAAGGCATTTGCTGCCACTGGGGGACTACATTGGACATGCCAGTCTGGGTGTTAAGTGCTCTGAGGAAGTAGCCACTGTCATCTCTGGAGCCATCATCCTGGCCAAGCTCTCTACTGTCCCCTGCAGAGAGGCTATTGGGGGAACAAGATTGGCAAGGCCCACACTGGCTTGTAAGGTGAGCCCTGCTGTGGCTCTGTGATGGTGCCCCCCGGGACACAGGCCTCGTCTCGGCCCCTCCCCCTGCCCCCTGTCCCTGTCCGTGCCCAAGAAGCTGCTCCTCATGGCTGGTATCCATGACTGCTACACCTCAGCCAGGGGCTGCACTGCCATAGGGGCAATTTCACCAAGGCCTCCTCTAAGACCTACAGCTATCTCACCTCCGAGCTCTGGAAAGAGACAGTACACTAAGCCTCCCTATCAGGAACTCGCTGACCACCTTATAAAGACCCACACGGCAGTTTCCGTGCAGAGGACCCAGACCACATAACTTTATACAAGAAAAACAATAAAGTGAATTAAGCATGTTTTTAAAAAAAGACTTTGAAATGTATAAAGTATTACACCGTGATATGCCAATGCCAGGACCACCATCTCCTGAGTGCCTACTGTGTGTCACACACACTCCCCTCTGACAAAGCCCACCGCTGTCCCCTAAGGGGTAAGGCACTCCAGCCTTAGGAGGAAGGAAAAATGGTATCGATTACAGAAAGAATCAAAGAGCATTCCAAAAAGGTAGAAAAAGCATATAAAACTTAAGTAATAATGTGGAGAGAATTATTTCAATAACTTCCCAATGTTTTTCCTCCAAAAGCTAAACTCTTTTCAGTAACATTTTTCTTTACTACAGAAAAGTCTATCCTCAGTGTAGATTAAGCTTTGTTATAACTTTAACATCAGCATACATAAACTAGGAACATCCAAAGGGCTAAGTTGTGAAAATGATTATTTGGACACAAAATTTCTGGAAACAAGACTAACCCTTTAATGTTTTTAATGCTTCAAGCAAAAATATAGTAAAGTTTATATAAAATAAACAAAGCCATGTTGTTATATTAATCTACAAAGACTTAGGAAATACTTTATTTAAATATTTTATATCCTAAATAAATAGATTGTGGAAAATAGTCATTCAACAGAAAGTGTTACAGACTTGGCTACAAATTGAGTTTTATGTAGTCTCTACTCTGCATCTCAAAATATTTACAAAAAGCAATATTTCATCTCTTTTAAATATTAAAAATCTTCAAAAGGGAAAGTAATCCAGATGACATATTTACTATTAATTATTCTCTGGAAAATAAAATATATTGTTTTCATAAATGACTAATGATTTTTGTTTTGATCTGTTTTTCCTTTTCATTAATACAAAACAATCATCCTCTAATAAAGATATATGAAATTATTACCATTTTACACTGATGGAATATAAAAATAGAGCAATATAGTTCTTCAAAATATATTTTAATATATTTCCTCCAAACCTCATGAAACTATTAACATTATTTTAATGTAGTTATAAAAGTTGCAAAAAGAAGTTGTAATGACCCAAGTAATTAAATCAGGGTCACTTTAATGACATGTTACTAGATTTTAAAAATTGGTGAAACTATCAAGTCTTAACTATATTTTTAATCATGATGGAAAACTGTGATTTCTTTCTAAGGACGAGACCTTTCCTGAACCTTATGTATTACCACAAAAGTCCAATAAAGCTGAACCTTTAAGAACTGGCCTAACACATGAGGCAGACTAACTGATAAGTTCTGTGTTTCAGGACCATTCTCAATAAATTTTGAAATTTTTACTCCAAAACATATAGAGTTCATCCTTGTATTTTTTTTTTCAAATGAGCTCCTCAGTAAAAAAATGAATTAAAAGTACAGAACAACCACAAACAGAGAAAAGGAGAAAGAAAAGCCTACCATGAAACCATCTTTGTTTTTCAGGCTCATTTTTGGTCAGGTGCTACCTGTTCGCCGGAGGAAACTGCCCTATTGACATGAAATGTAGTTTAGGCTCTAACACATCCTTTCATCTAGAGTCCAAGCTCCACAAAATTAAAATCCCTTCTTGCTCTGTCAGGAGCCATGGTGGGAGTTCCATACCTTCCCAAGATGGCTGTCAAAATCTGGCAACTCCACCCGCTTGGTAAGGGAGGTGGGGTGGGGGAGGGATCAGTATCAATGGGCAAGGGGACCAGTGGGAAATCCTTCATATATAGGCTATCTCAAAAAAAATGTATACACACACTTCAAATAATTATAAAGGCAGTGTTTATTAAAATACATTTCATTTTCAAAATTTGAACTATTCACTGTTACAAGTGTGTATACATTTTGATGGGACACCCTGAAAAGATTCATTTATTTGAGTTAATAATATCCTTATTTAATATACCTACATGGCCTGACCTGTCAACTACTCGTATCTTGTCTTGCATCTTAGATAAGGCCAACGTGGCTTGGCTCTCATTCATCTCCCCACAGAGGAGCCTCCTGTGTGTTTTAATGGGGAAAATGGAAAGAAGCTGAAAGAGGAATAAGTAATTGCGGCAACATCCGTGGAAAAGAGTTGACCTGGGGACAGGCCCAGTGGGTGGTGTTGGAGGGAGATCTTTGGAAAGCAGGAAAACTCTGGTTTAGGAGAGAAACAGGGACAACTCAACTTGCAAAAGTGGAGACCGCTGAAAGGAAACAGGAAGTGGTAAGCAGGAAGGAAATAGGAAACCAAGACTGAACCTTACTAAAAGGAAAATGGTTTCTCTTAGGTTATTTTCTCATGGTAGAGAGAGAGGGGGATGTGGGCGGTCAATTCTTATTCTAAAATATAAAGTTCATTGTGCCCAACCAGCAAAATAAACACCACCATTCTCACCTTTTAGCCAAATCCCAGCATTAGCCAATGCTGTTTATAATCAAAGCAACAATAACTCTCCTCATTCAGTAAATACTTGATTTTTTTTTTTTTTTTTTTACATTTCACAGATATACAGTCTTATAGTTGAGACAGATCGCTGTTTGTTGTTTGACTTCTTGAAATACTCCTATTTTGAAGGTATCGTATGGCAGGTATTTTTTGTAATATAAGTGTATTGCATTTATTTCATCTTAAGGGTCCTTCAAAATATTTAGTACCCATCAAAACAAATGGAGACAGAATTGTAGCAAAAGTAGGTTCTGAAATTGCTGCAAAAGTCTACCCCAAAAAAGCATTTATTAATACTCCTTATAAACCTGAGAAGTCTAGAACTCCAGAATGTTCCTTAAATGAAATAGAAATCTAAAAGCAGCCTAAATGACCAACAACTGAGCAATCACTACATTATGGTACAGCTACACAATATAATAGTCTCAATCACCAAAAATAATAATCCTAAAGTTAAAGGGTTTGTCATATGACACGGAGTAGGAATTACATGTAAATAATATACTTGCATGTGAACAGAGAAGACAGAAGTAATTATGCCAATGCCAACTGCCTCTGGTGGGCGGGAAACTGTGCTTCATCAATGGGGAATCAGTGAGGCAATGAGAGCAGGAAGAGGCTGGATTCCGCAGAGGTGTGGAAATCCTACTTGTTCCCTGGCCTGGGAAGAAGACTCTGTCCCTCTTCTCAGCGCGGAGGGGAGGCCCCGGGGGCTGGAAGAGGAGGGGGTGGGGCTGCAGGACCTACCTTGTAGTAGTCATACAGCAGGCCGAGGGCGGCAGCGCTGTCCTCATCGCCATTAATGCTCATCATCGCCTTGGTGGCCGCCGTCAGGGGATTCTCCAAATATGACTTCCAGGCTTCATCCTCACTCGTGTAAGCTCTTCGGGTGTTGAACGGAGGGTCAGTGGGCATGGGCACTAAGGCCACCAATCGTTTATTACTGTAAAAGAAAAAAAAAATGAGGTTCGTTATCAGAGAAATAGTCCTTTTCCCACAAACACCACACACATTCTATGGTTAATGTGTACTTCCCCAGATTGGAGGGGAAATGAAGATTAAAATTAAAGTGACTGCCATGTGGCCCTGATAAAGTCACTGGTTTATAATTCCCTGTCTATGAGAAGGAGTAGTGGCCTTTGAAAGGTTGTGTAAGTAGAGAAAGTTGGTTCCCCTCACACTTGGTTTTCCAAATCCAATTATTCTAGGAGCCAAATCCCTTAATTTGATTATTCTTCATTAATGACTATTAGAATGAAACCCTGTTGAGGAAGCAGGTTTCATTTCGTTCTCTGAGTTCTAATTAGAAACACATGCCGTACGTAAGCGTAATCACACATTAATGATTATCAAAAATTGTCTGATCTAGTTCAATCCACGTGTGACCTTGCCAGAGAATTAGAGGCTACTGCAAGTCTCTTAATTAAAAAGGCTACGTAAGCTACTCTGCAAACAAGACTCGCAGATACGCTGCCTAATGAGAAGCAGCAGCAAGATGGTGAGACAGGGTTGCCACAGAATCCTACTATAATCGACACAGAAGCTACAGGTTACAACAATCATCATGGGGAGTGAGGAGTGTGTCTACAGCAGTGGTCAGCAAACCGCGGCTCACAAGCCACATGCGGCTCTTTGGCCCCTTGAGTGTGGCTCTTCCACAAAATACCATTTGCGGGCACGCACATACAGTGCGATTGAAACTTCGTGGCCCATGCGCAGAAGTCAGTTTTTGGCCTGGGCGAGCCTATTTTGAAGAAGTGGCATTAGAACACTCAAGGGGCCAAAGAACCACATGTGGCTTATGAACCTAGGTTTGCCAACCACTGGCCTAGAGAATCTGCAGTAGAGACTTCAGTAGAAGATTGACAGAAAGGGGCTGGAGTAATCATTTATTAACCCTGACCAAGCCAAACTCGGGTAAGGCAGATATTGACAAGCAAGACAATTTTCTTAAAGAGAGTGTGACAATGACTCTTTGGAGACCATGACAGTCTTCAGCAGCTCCCCAGGCAGGACCCCGCTGCCAAGGAGAGGAGCCCGGAGCGGCGTTGGCACTCACCTCCTGGCCCTCTTTCACTTGTTCATGGAAATGGAAACCAAATGGAACAATGAGACACTGTATTTCAGTAACTCCTCAGTCCATTCATCGTGACAGGACAGCCAGGTGAAGGCAATAACTGTACTAATCAATGGAAATTCAGGCACCCAGGGCCTCTGATGGTCATTCAGTTCTAAAAGAGGTCCCTTTTCATTGACATTTCTACCAGACCTTTTAGGGGTACATGGCCTCCCTGCTCACTTTGTAATGGGGAACTGGTGTGCACCCACAACAGTGAATTGTGGGTCCTTCATGTGCTTGCCTGGTGCCATGCTCTGGTGGGAAGTCAGAAAACAACAGTGAACGTGCTAAGATATATTGGGGGACAGAGTAGGAAATCCACAACTAACAGGGTGGAATCAATGCAACATGGTCTTTAGGCTCCTGATTTGCACTCTGGGTGCCAGTAGTTTGGAAGACCTGATTTGGGACGAGATAGAGGATATTAATCCAATTGCAAATGAGTTGAATTAAAAGGATACAATCAAGTTTCTGGAAGGCAGTGAGAAAACCTGCTAGTGGGAGGGTTTATCTGCCACGATGGGAGTAGCACAGACCCTGAAAGTGAGTCTTTGCTCGCCACTTACGGTGGTGAACAACGGCCTGAGCGTCAGCTTCTTTGGGCTTCAAGTAAGAAGAGCGATGCTCACCTTACCGACCTCACAATGTGATTGTCAGAATCAAATAAAATAGTGGGTAAGACAGTTTTCTAAACTGCACACACTATGTAAACAAACAGGTATTACTGTCACCGAGCAGCTCGATGTTCCTGTAAAGTGTGTGGGTATACCGATTTGGGGTAACATTGGTTATAATTTTAAAGTGCTGATGATAATCATTAATTAAAGGGAAAATGAAGTTGTCCTTTAGCAATATTCTGTAAGTATTTATTAAGAATCCAACGGATACCAGACATCATGCTAGTTCCAGAGGAGACAATGGTGAGAGACAGGTACTGCCTTGTCGACCACGTACCTGCTGCCCAGTGGGGCGGAACCGGTAGTGTCAATAAGAGGGATGAATGTGAGAAAGGGAAATGGATGGTGTCATGAGGGTATATGTGACAGAGAGGACTAACCTAATCAGAGACTCTAGGAGGAATGGAAGTGTCTACAAAGATCTGAAGGATAGGTAGCAAGGTGCTGGTCCCATGTTGAAATGGGCAGATGCGGGGAATATTTCTCACGGCGAAGAGTATGCTGGTAATGCAGAACACTAGAACTTTCTGACAAAAGGAGCACATTTGTATCATCGGCATGCTTTGACCTAACAGTAAAATAACAGCATTTCAGTGCTGTAAAAATTGTTAATCAAGCCGAAACTTGTTTGGCTCAGTGGATAGAGTGTTGGCCTACAGGATGAAAGGTCCCGGGTTTGATTCCAGTCAAGGGCATGTACCTTGGTTGTGGGCACATCCCCAGTAGGGGGTGTGCAGGAGGCAGCTGATCGATGTTTCTCTCTCATCGATGTTTCTGACTCTCTGTCTCTCTCCCTTCCTCTCTGTAAGAAATCAATAAAATATATTTTAAAAAATTGTTAATCATATAGGATAAGGTTGGACTTGGAGACAGAAATGTTGGTGGGCTGGACCTGGGGAGTATTACACTAAGAAAAATAAGCCAGTTAGAGAAAGACAAGTATCTCACGATCTCACTCATAAGTGCAACCTAATGAACAAAATAAACTGACGAACAAAATAGAGCCAGAGACGTGGAAGCATGCAACAGACTGGCGAATCTCAGGGGGAAGGAGTGGGAGTGGGAGACGCCTCTGGAAGAGATGAACCAAAAAAGTTAAGTGCATACGTGCATAACTCATGGACACAGACAATAGTGCAGTGAAGGCCTGGGGAAGGGGCGGGAGCAAGATGGAATGGGTCATTTGCAAGGCGGGGGGGGGGGGGGGGGGGGGGGCGGGGGGTTGGCGCAAGATGGGACATCTGTAATACTTTCAACAGTAAAACTAAATTTTAAAAAATAAAATCATTAAATAAAATAAGTCTACAGAGAAAATTATGGCAGCATCACCACCTCCCCTTCCACAGTTGTGTAGCTGGGGCCACCCTGGGTTCCTGGTCTGCAGCCTTTACTTAAAAGGTGAAACAGAGGATTCGGAACCCCAATCATGGCCCATGAGAGCCCAGGCATCGTGCACACTTCCTAAAAACGCTCGGTCCCACAGGAAGGAAGGAAGAGCTTCGTGCTATCTGCAGTCACCTCACTATTGAAAAAGATGAGGATTTTATTCCGTTTCATGCCTCAGAGAAGCACCTATTGCTGGGGGCGGGGAGTGTTAATGACAACACTGGCTGATTTCCAGAAGTGCAGCAGGAAGGGCCAGAGGCAGGGACAAGAGCCAGATCTTGAGCCACACTCAGCAGTGTCCTGATTCACTGGAGAGATTTCTCCCTCGAGTCTTCCTTCTTCAGGTCCCCGCGCCCTCCTGCCGAGCTTCCTGGATGGCTGATTTCATCTGTTCCCAGCACAAACGTTCCCTCACAAACGGAGATGCATCAGCCTTTCCCCTGTGATGAAATGGCTGATGAGTCCTCGCCTGATCAATGGGAAGAAATAGTCTGGGAAAGCACGTGACTGGTTTCTTTTCCTCCGTCGGATGGCCGAAGGAGCCTTTTCTGCTCTTCCCTTTGGCCGTGTGATGACTTCAGTATTTTTCCCCCACAGATTAGAATCTCTCCTGTACAGAGCGCTGTGGAATAAAGGTTGGTTTTATAACAACAGAATAATCTCCCTGGTAGAGTAAGCAAAAATCCTGTGAAGAAAGGATAGTTTCACAGAGCAGCTTTTACCAAAGTTTGGAACAATTTCTGGAGATTTTATCGTTGTGCTCACACTGCCGTGATAAACATTTTCAGTATCTTTTTGTGTAGCTGTAGGTGTTTTAGGTTATGGGTAGCCTCAAACACAGAACTGTAAAGAGCAACGATAGCCCTTGTCGGTGTGGCTCAGTGGGTTAAGCATCATCCCCATGCACCAAAAGGTCACTGGTTCAGTTCCGGGTCAGGACACATGCTAGGGTTGCAGGCTTGATCCTTGGTAGGGGATGTGCAGGAGACAGCCAACTGGTATTTCTCTCTCACATCAATGTTTCTCTTTCTCCCCCTCTCCCTTCTTCTCTCTCTAGAGTCAACACAAACCTTTTTTTTGTTTGTTTGTTTGAAGCAACTATAAACTTCATCTCTGATCCTTCTCTGGATAAAAGTTTAGATCAGTGGTCGGCAGACTGCGGCTCGCGAGCGACGGCTCTTTGGCCCCTTAAGTGTGGCTCTTCCACTGGCCTGGGCGAGTCCATTTTGAAGAAGTGGCATTAGAACAAGTTTAAAAATTTGGCTCTCAAAAGAAATTTCAAACGCTGTCCTGTTGATATTGGGCTCTGTTGACTAATGAGTTTGCCGATCACTGGTCTAGATGAATACCTGAGCACTCATAGCAAAGCTAAATCAGGCTGTATTAGTTCACAGATTTAATTTTTTTCTCATTTGTTTTCTTTAATCCAATACTTCATTTTGTGGATGTTGAGAGATGAGTCATCAGCTTTAGTAGTGAAAGAGGTGGAGCAGACACATGTGACTAAGACCATAACCAAGTCAAGAAAAGCTCTAGATCACTGGGTCAGAGATAACCTATAACCCCCTTCTCCCCCGCCCCCGCCCTTGAGCATTAACAACAGTCTAATGCAGAAATGCTTTGCTGGAGAGAAGCACACAACGTCTCTATCTCCTAAAAATATGTAAAGAAATTGTCGATAAATCCAGAGATAAACCCATTTTACTTGGAATCCCAAAACAAAAATGAGGAGAGAGAATTGTTCACATAAACTATCACTTT